GTCCAGGGTCACACACATATATATATATATGTATATATATATATATATATATATATATATATATATATGCGCGTGTCCGTGTTTCATGTATATAGTAGTTATAAATGAATGTAGGAGGGAATGCATGTCTCTCACAGCTCATTGTACTGTGTTGCAGGTTTGGTTCAGTATCAGCTGATGGTTTGTACTCGTCTCCTGTCCTCAGTAAAAGCAGTCGCTTCAATGCAATGCTCGCTGCCCTGACACCCACCCGTCTGGGTCTCACCGTACAGGCCATGGCTGCCATGAAGGTTTCTACTCACCTCCACTCACATTTAACACAACAGTAATCAGTGTTATTACTCTGGAAACATGATTATCATGCACCATCACAAACATGTATCTCTGTGTGACCCAGTAAAGTCAGTGATGCTTCAGCTTCACCACAAGAGGGAGACATGCAATTATTTCTCCAGCATAATATAGTGTAATTTTAGTATTGTTTATACTATTTTAGTAATATTTTGACATTTATTTTTATATTTTCAGTTTTCATTTTACTTTTAGAAATTTTATTATGTAATGTATAGTTCACTTTAAAAGGATAGTTCAATTTACTCTCTCTCTCTCACTGTCTGACTTTCACTGTATAGGAAAAAAAAAAAAAAAAACTTGTGTTTTTTCCATACAATGAAAGTGGATGGAGACTGGGGTCAGACCACCTTCCCCTCAAATCAAGTCAGATTTATTTGTATAACACTTTTTTTTCACAATACACATTGTTTTAAAGCAGCTTTACAGAAAATCATAATGTTAATATTTAAAATATCTTAATATCTTCATGCCTTATAATTACATTTATCAGATCAGAGCTGGACGATAATATAGTTTACATTTTGAGATGATACAAGCAATCAAGCAGTTGAGATTTGCTATATAGTATATATCACCCTATGTGAGTATACTGTATGCATGCAGATAAGGTTGGACGTAATTATATGTCCAACTTAATATAAAGACTCAGACAATAACATTTTGTGACAAAAAAAAAAAAACAGGAAGTTGAGATTTGCTATATAGTATATATCGCTTTACATGAGTGTACTGTATGTATGCGGATAAAGATGGATATACTTATATTTCCAACTTTATATAAAGAGCTGGATGCTAATATAGTTATAAGAGCAGCTTGGTCATTCTGCTAAATATCTCATTTTGTGTTTCACAGAAGAAAGCAAGTCATACAGGTTTTTAACAACATGAGGATGAGTAAATTATAATTTTTAGGGTGAACTGCATGTTTAATTATTAATTATGTCTAGTACCAGTCTTATTCACTTAACCTTTACATAGGGTGTTTTCTCAACAGCTGGGGCTCGTCATTGCAGTACGCTACAGTCACAGGTAGGATGTTAAAAAATCTGTGTGTGTGAATGTCATGCAAGTTCATGTGAAATTCAGATACGATGCATTGGTGGTAACAGATCAAAACAATTCCCTGTAATTATTTATCAGTGTTAAACAGTCGTGCTCCTTCAAGCGCATCAAAACTGCATCGACGAGTTTCAAAAGCGATTTATGTGGTCGTAGGGGAGAGAAAAATAAACAACAAGCTCTAGAAATGAGTGAAAACAAAATGAGAATGCCGTGACGTGTGGAGTTTCTCCTCACCGCAGAGAACATCCAGTTCAGAGGGATACTCTCGTCCGCGCCTCCGCTGCTGCTGCTGCGCATCTTCCTCACATGTGGCTTTGTGCATGTGTGCGTCTGCGTGGGCGATGCTGGGTGTCTCTGAACATGGCATCCCCAGGCTGAAAAAAATACAGTACTAGAGGAAATGTTTGCTTTCTATAGTTGCAGGTTTTCCATTTGCAAAACAGCTCTGCGCACCCACACGCACATACATATCAGAGGAAGAACAAAGAGCCACAACTCTGGTGCCAAAACATGTATGAGCGCTCAGGTGTGAGAGAAAAACCGCACTCACAGTTATCAGGCTCGATGCTCTCAGCCCCCCACACCTCTTCTTGGTTGGAGTTTATCTTATTACGGCACACACCACAAAGCCATCGCACTTCAGACTTTCTGAACGAGAGGGTTTAAGGTTAAAAACAACAGCGTGCCATCAAACAGTTGGTGGTCATGTTGCGCACATGTGGCTCGCCGATTTGCTCGCAGCGTTTGGGAGGTTGTTCGGTCAGTTGGTTAGTTTTAGTGGTGGGAAAGTTAGTTATAAGGATAAGACTTGGCAAACAGATTGATACGCAAGTTATACACGTCTTCAAAAGCTACATACAATAATTTAAAGTCAACACGAAATCAATCTTTAGACATGTTCATTGGTGCATGTCATTCCAAAGAAAATAGTGTTTGTCTTTGCTGTTTTTGATCATCACGTTACCACGCCGACTGTAAAATTTTTGACTGACATCACTGAGATCATGTAGCCATTTATTCATGTTAACTAATACCAGTGTATGTATTTATATACTATTATAGTATTTTTTAAATATTTTGAATTGGCTTTTATTTTTATATTTTCAGTTTTAGTAATTTTGTTATGTAATTGTATTGTCATTTTTATGATCATTTTTTTATATACATTTCTATATAGTTAATAGATTTCTATTTCAGCTGTAGTTTTAGTAATTTTTATTAGTTTTCATTGTTGTATATTTTTATATAGCTTTAATGGATTTTTATTTCAGTTTTAGTCATTTTACATCTTTTTATAAAGCTTTGATTTATATATATTTCACTTTTAGTAATTTTTATATAGCTTTATTTTATTTTTATGTAAATGTTAGTCGTTTCATATGTTTTTTATGTTTAGAAAGCTTTAATTTATTGTTTATTTTATTGTATTTATTTTTTATTTTTCAGTTAGTTTAGTTTTAGTCATTTTTGTACTTCAACTCCAAATCCTATGTACAATAGGATTTAATCTAATTTTTATATTTATTTCAATTATTGAAAATGATTTATAATGGTTTTAGTTGTAGTGCACTGTCCAACAGCCATGTGGCATTTAGTTAATGCAGCCTCTCTAAAATCTTACCAACAGTCAATAGTGATTTTTGATGCCAGAAAATCTAAAAGTTAATAACAGATAACATAATAATTGGAAGATTCTTATACAGGATGTCCAGTAGGAAGTATATGGGAAATAGAATGGGTTGTGAATGCCATATTATGTTGACTTTAACGCTGTAGCATTTCACTTTTCGAACTAAATCACAAGAGCCAGGAAAATCTAAAAGTTAATAACAGATAACATAATAATTGGAAGATTCTTATACAGGATGTCCAGTAGGAAGTATATGGGAAATAGAATGGGTTGTGAATGCCATTATGTTGACTTCAACGCTGTAGCATTTCACTTTTCGAACTAAATCACAAGAGCCAGCGCTGTCATCTGTTTAGTGTAATAAACTAAACAGCTGATGACGAGCTGTATCACTGTGTGGTATGGCAACGCGTACTACCGCAAGACACTTCAACGCATAGTGAGAGCAGCTGAGAAGATCGTTGGTGCCTCTCTCCCCTCCCTCCAGGACATTTACAACACCCGTCTCACCCACAAAGCCCTCTGCATTGCAGGTGATCCCACCCACCCGACACACAGCTTCTTTAGTCTGCTGCCATCAGGGAGGAGACTGCGGAGTCTCCAGGCCAGGACCAGCAGACTGAAGGACAGCTTCATCCATCAGGCTGTCAGGAAGCTGAACTCC